AGAAGAAGAGTAGGCTGTGTATTATGAGGGCTGTACTCTGCTGAAAGTGCTGCTGGTGATTGCTGATAATACCTCTGCTCAGGAGATGGGGCAACAGGAGACCGAGTTTTACTTTTGTGCTGAGGTGATAGACTTTGATATTTGTCAGATAAAGGGGTTGGATATCTTGGCTCAGGTGAGGGAGTGTGATTCTTTGGCAGAGGTGAAGGTGTTTGATACCTTTGATGATGTGGCAGAATTGTTTCAGGCTGCACAACAGAGCTTGTGAAGTCTGATATATGAGGTGAGTCTCGTGGCGTACTTGTAGACTCTGTTATACTTTGTTGTATACTATTGCTGCTTGGGGTAGGGCTCCTTGCTTCAGGGGACACCAGTATCCTGTCAGGCTCAGGGCTGGAGAGATGAGAGAGCTCAGGGAATAGGGCAGTGTCCCTATCGTCAGGCTCAACAATACTGTAAGAAATCCCTGTGATATGAGGAGATGAAGCGAGGCTTCTGGATGAGGCAGACTCAAAGTGAGGCTCTAGAAGAGGAGAAGCTGATGCTGTGTCCACTTCTCTCCTGCTGACCTCAGGTGAGGATGCTGTAATCCTGATTTCAGGTGAAGGAGTAATATGCTCTAAGGGAGAACAACTGCTTCTAAGTTGAGGTGATGGAGACAAGCTATAACTTAATACAGGTGAAGACACCTGGGTGTTGATTTCAGGTGTTGAGATGTGTCCTATTTTAGGTGATGGGTCAGGAGAGAGAGTTTCTGCCCCAGGCTTAACTGGAGAGGCAGCACTAAGCCGACCAGGTGAAGGAGTTTTGTGCCTCAATTCAGGTGTGGCACTACTTTCCAAAAGTTCAGGCAGTGTTGCTACGGAAATGACAGGTGAGGGAGTTGTGTATTGTGGGTCAGGTATATCCACAGCACTGACAGGCTCAGCCGATAACCTTGTGTTTTGGTTCTCAGGTGAACTTGTGTCTCTTCCTGCAGTGGAGGGATCTGAAATTAACTCTGGGGTGCAGGGAGGATCCTGGATATCAGGTGTGGAACCTCTGTTGATAAGATCAGGCAGGGAGAGCCTCTCTCTTAGTTCAAGAAAAGGAGATGATGCTTGAGAATCAGGGGAATGGGGTCTATTCTTCAGGTTGGGAGACAGCAGTGTTTCTCTTGAGTGGGATGATAACTCTGCACTACTGGGTGAAGGTGAAGGAGAGGAAAAGTTGGCTCTAGAGTCTGATTCTGTAAAATCTAAAGATGAATCTTTGGATGTGGACTCAGGTGAGGGACTGTTGAGCTGATAAAAGTAACTGCTACTTGGTTCAGGCGAGACTTGGGCTACCATAAACTCATGTGAAGACTGGGTGTTCACTGATTCAGAGGAGGATGAGCTGACACAGTTCCTAGACTCAGAGGAGGAAATTGGAGTTAGGGACTGATGTGAGGGGCTGCTTTGTCTGTTTGTGTAAATAGAAGTGATTCTACTCTGTTCAGCTTCTGAATCAACTTGACTCAGATTAGGCGATGCTGGTGAATGTCTTTTTTCAACTGAGGAAGAAGACAAGGATGATGCTCTTCCCTCTGAACTAAGGGTATAGGGGCTGTTATGTCCAGAAGAGGTGGTCCTTTCACCAGTGTTGAGGACTTCAGATGGTTGGCTAGTTTTATTAAACTGGGATACTGGTGATTTGCTTTTTGGTTCTGAATTTGGGCTGTTGTCTGCAGAGATGTCTGGAAGCCCTGAGCTCAGTCCCTCACTCTTTGACTGCCTTCTCTCTGAAGGGTCACCCTGCAACAGGGGGCTGTAAAGCCTTTCTCTTGAGTCTTCAAAGGTCTCCTCTCCTTCACTAGAGCCCTGAGCAGTGTGGTAAGAACCCAAGGAGTCATTCAAATCATCCACCGGGGGTGATACAGTTGCTGTCCCGTCTGCTTCCCTCTGGGCAAAGACAAAGGCCCCTGCAGCAGGGCTGCTTGAGTTAGAAGGCGACTCACAGTCGTCTCCAAAAATGTCACACAGGCAAGTGGTCTCAGAGATGGCACTGCGCTGTCTAGGGATGTTGATGATATCAAAGATTTCAACGTGGTTGGGTGTGCCGTCACGATGGCACAGGGAAAAGGTGTGGGGCGCACTGCGCAAACAGGAGTAGCTGTCCCCCTGGAGAGTCCAGCTGTCCATTGCTATTCCACAAGCTCCAAATTCTTACAGTGGCCAGTCCAGTCCACTTCTCTAGTCTGCTCTGGGCTCTGTTCCTGGACTGTAAATAAGACATGGTCATCTGGAGGCTGTGTAGCTCATTCATTTATACTAAGAGGCTACAGTACATTTAATGACTATCACTGTGAGGCAACATTATATAAACTACAAATGTAGATGCAGATAGGAGCATTGTGGAACACATAGCAACACATACAGCAAAGATATTGTAAACCTCCAGTAGGAGTGCAGAACATAAATATAACTCTCTCACTATGCCTTTAAAAGCAGCAGCAAGCAACTTTAAGTTGACAAAAAATATTAATTACATATTAAAAATACAGTGCATCTATACATATGCTTAAAAACTTACAATATTTCATCAAGACATATACCAAGTGCAACTTATTTTCAATTTTAAAGGCTAATTTATCATCTTGGATATATGAAAAATTATAATATTTAGAGTAGCTCTGTCTAATACATACTTGTTATCTAAGCTTGCCATGTTGTCTTGGTATAGGACTGACTAGAGAAAACAGCCTGCTCTCCTTGCAAGTACAGAAAGACAGAATGATTGTACTGTACCTTTGGCCACCAATGAAGCTTTCCCAAGGGCATTGAGCTCCTTTTTGTTCTCTGCCCCTCATCCGGTGAACTCTCTCTAAAAATCCACAACATACACCAAGCTTACAAGTCTTACATACATATGCTGATTCATAGACTGAGCAGCTCCATACAGCTCAGTCTAGTAGACTGGCTAACTTCAGAATGTCAAAGGCACTGCCATGTACCAGACTAGAATAAAAAAAGCAAAGGTGGGTATCTCTCTCAGACACGTTACATCCCCTAATGCTCCCTTTCTGCCCCTCCCTTCTGTGATGGCCTCAAAGAAAGCACTTACTGAGTCTAACCTGGATCCTTTTTCTTCTCCAGCCTGGGTTTTGGTTGGACATTGGCTTTCCAGTGTGGACTGGGGTGTGGCGCTGGGGGCGGGTGGGTTTATAGTTAGCAGCAGGTGCAGATCCAGTGAGGACGGACGAATGTGCCTGGAATCTGACACTTACAGCCAGCTCAGTCACAGGGCTCCTCTATATATAGGCCAATACTATCTGGGCCAGATAACCATAACTATAACTGTTTGCTTGTGCACACTGGTGGGGAAAGAAAGGGGACATACAGAGCTACAAGTACAGCACACACACTAAACGCCAGATATCATTTCATATATAATGCTGAGGGTGTAGTTATTGCTTGTATAAATGTATGAGTATGTGTACATGTGAAAGCTGGGGTACAACACAGACCACCTATCTTTAACAGCTCACATGCAGAACTCTTGTGCACTGCATGTGAGCTATAGCAACACTTGCATAACATTGATAAAGTGCTCTCACATGTCACATAGTTGCTTTTTAATTTCTAAATATTTTATATTCCAGGACTACTACATATTATTCATTTTTTGTCATTTTTAATTCACATTTAAGCCTGCTTCTCATAACACAATGCACAAAAAGCATATGATCAAAACTGCCAAAACAAAAGAGGTCATGTTATTTACTGTACATATTACTGTTGCTACTCCATGATCCACATTTAGCTGTCTGGGGATGTTTGATGGCCAACACAGTTTGGATAAGCCCCCAGTCTCTAACCTAATATCTCATTAAGTTATGCAGTCCCAACTGAATGTTGAATAAGGCTGTGACTGATGGTATAGTATATTATATTCCTAGTATCAAGGGGTTGAAATACTGCTCTCAACACTGGAAAGTAAACTCACTATTTTATATACAGTAAGTGTGTAATTTGGGCCTGTCTTCTTTTGCCACAAGTGCACACATTTTAGTATGACTAGCCATAAAGGGGAACTGAGTCCTTTGCGTTATTGGAGGCTTTTCTCCCAGAGCTGTAACAGCAGTATATCTTTATTTTACACCATTAATTCTATAAACTGCCCAGTGTTTATAGACTCCAGATTCCCTATAATAAAAAACATGACTCCTTCTGATGTCTTAACAGGTACTAAAGAGAGGATAAATCATGTGGTTGGTTTAGACCTCAATAGTAAACAGCCATATGTGAGTTTATTATCTTCTATAAATATAGATGGATGTCACTAAGGAAACATGTTAAAAGCATAAAACATGGGTATATCCACAACAATAAAGTCCATGCATGTAATGCCCTTTGTGTGCTGCATATGAGATACTGTAAGCTGCTGATAAATTTGAATCTCTGCAGTTATGGCAGGACAGCAGACTGGAGGGGGAGTCAGAGGGAAAGAATGATGAGCACCTCAGCGATGAGGAGCTTTAATCTACATCACTGATATATTAGTCACACCAGCTCAGGTCCAAAGACCTCACACACCCTCACCCTCAGAAATGCAGCATAAGTTGTATATAAACAATATTCTGTGAGCATCTACGTATAAGTGGATGATAAATAGCCCATTAACCTCGCATAGCACTTCCCTATTGTGAAAAACATACATACAAACAAACAAAAACCACGACTTTCTTTTTTAAAAAGTTTATCGTAGCTGATTTTTTTTTTTACAAGGCATCTTTAATAAAATGCTCATGGTGGGATATTTAAGTATACTATTTATAACAAACAGTAAGAATATAAACATAAACTGATCTAGTTATTTTTAAATCAGTGATGAACAGTTTTAAGGTAATTTAACTATTTTAATGTGACCGATGCAATCTGCTTCAATATTATGTGCCAGTCATTAAAGAGTGAGTTATAAAAGTTCATGCGCAGAGTAGAAAATTGCGTGATATGAAATTTTATTGTGAAATGTCCATTTAACGCAGAATGCGACACAGGAAGATCCGCATTACGGCACTAGTCAAGTATTGCTATAACAGACAAGCGGCTAATGCTAATGTTTGCTAACTAATTAGCAGGATAGGTGAGTGGTATTTATTCAAACATTAGTTATACTTAAGGTGAGCAGCAATAGATGATTTAGATGTTGGAGTGATATAAAATAATTAAGTCAAGCGGGCTGTCATTCTCCCCTGAACTTATTTGGGCCTTGTCAGACAGCAGCTGGCTAACAACACCTAGCTAAAGTAGCTGCTAGCTTTTGCATGACACCGTTTGTTTATGTTAGCTGTGCGATAGCTTAATTTTCTAAATTGCACCGTCGATTCAAAACACATGGTTATGAGTTTGTGGTAGCTTACTTTAAATGAATCATTTATAGTGAATAATACAAATACGAAACATGGCATTTCAATATTACAATGGAAATGTATCTATCTACCGTTAATGTGGGTTAGCTCTAGGAAGTTACGGTAGGTGCACATTTTTAAATGTCAACGTACAGAAGTGAGTTATAATTTTTATACTAATAAAGTAATATCTGAATGCAAACCAGCTGCTCAAATAGAATCACTGGTGAACATTTACTTTCGTTAGCTGATACGGTACAGCGTCAGTAAACACCAGGCCGCAGTGTGTGGCTGCTTGTTTTATTAAGGCCTTTGCTAGTTAGCAGTGTCTCACCAGGTCAAACTTTTAACGCTCATTGCGGAAGTTGTGGGTATATTTTGTTGTTGTTGTTGATTTTAACCTTGATTACATAGTAGTGTCTGCCAGGGGTCACGACTTAAATATGCAGCAGAGTGACAGTCATCAAGGGACTGTCAATATGATACAAGTTTTCTCAAATACTGCAGGCACTGATTTGTGATTGGAGTAATGAAGTGTATTCTCACATCCTTTCAATTGGTCGGCAATACATATTTGTAGGATTTGTGTGTGTGAGAGAGGAAGCCACTGCAGCCAACTAATATAGAATACTACACAATGCACTGAAAAATGAAAACAATAACACTGATAATTGGGGCCTGACAATCGATCAGCATGTCTGTAGAGTGATTAATAAGAAGAAATGTCAATTCTGAAATGCACATAAATGTATGTTTTAGGTAGTTTAGAAACAGTGTTGTGGTTACTTTGCACTGGCAGGTTTAAATTCTAGCATCACCCCTAGTTCATATATTAGTCAGTTAGGCTAATAATCCTGTGCACAGCTGGAAACAATGTTAACTGCTCATCCTTTTAACTGGATGCTGAGGGGGAGGAGGACTGAGGTGCCACAAAATTACAAAAGCCAGCTCACACCAGGGATAGTCTTTTTCTTTTTTTTTTTTTTTTTTATCAAGATGTCAGCTGGAACTCAGCTGCTTTGTATTACAGATTTCAACTGATGCTATCTCTAGATTTTGTCCTTGTTATTTCTAAATAATTTGATATTCTGGGACATTTCATGCTAAATGCCTTGCTTTTAAAATGAAAATAGAAGTTGAATCGAAATGAAGAAATGCTACAGTGCTTTCTGATATCACAAGGGTCTGCCAAATACTGGTGTTTACTGACTGACCTTTGACCTCTTATTTCCCGATCAGGAGGAAATCTGAGGTCAGTATTTTTGTCAAATTTGTTAAAGGATCATAATAAAAAAATTTATATTTAGGTAAAAAAAATGTTGAAATGATTAATCAGTTGACTAGAAATTGAGCTGTGGCATTTTTAAAAATCAATTATTTCTCAAACAAAAAATACCCTCACATTACCTTGTTCCTGCTTCTCAAATTGCTCCTTTTCTATGCTCTATACTTTGTTATATGCATGTAAACCGAATATCTTTGACTTTTGAGCTGCTTATGAGACAAAACATGCAATAGAATGACATAGTCTTGGGCTTTGGGAATTTGTAATCTGCATTTTATAGTCTAAAATGTCACTGAGGAAAAAATATAGAATATAATTGAAATACATGTTAATTATAGGCCTAAAACATCTAAATGACACTAGCCATTATATTGCTGTCAGATTGTCAATTTATCAAGTGTCCATATGGGCTTCAGAAATCCATTATTACTGGGGTTATATTATGGCTATATCTGACCTTTATTCCTCTTTTGTTCTATTTTTTTCTTATAAATCTAGGTATTGTTGTTGCGGTCTGAGTGTGTGTTCCAGGCTGAACCATGGAACAGTGCGCCTGTGTGGAGCGGGAGCTGGAGAAAGTGCTCCATCGCTTTGTAATGTACGGCCACCAGTCTGAGGAAAGGCTAGATGAGCTACTGCGTAGTGTCTGTGAGATACGAGCACAGCTAGTTGCTTTTGGTAAGACAAACTGACACCCAGGAGGTGGCTTTAATTTCTTTGTCCCACCAGAAATGAAAATGGAGCTTTATTCATTGGGCACATATTATTGTAGACATGCACTGTGAAAACTCTTCCTCTTTCTCTCTTGCAGGAGTACAAGATGCAGACTTGTCAGTCCTATCTCAGACTATGGCGCAGTGTTGTAAGAACATCAAAGAAACAGTGCAGATGCTAGCTTCGCGACATAAGGACATCCATGGCAGTGTGTCAAAAGTGGGCAAAGCCATTGACAGGGTAAGGGTAGGCAGGGGTTTTCTTTAACACCTTTGACATTTGGTGTACACATACATGAGCTCTGATATGCTTCTCTGCAGAATTTTGATGCAGAAATTAGTGCTGTGGTGGCAGAAACAGTGTGGGACACGCCAGAGAGACAGAAATACCTGAGTGAGAGCATTGTGGAGCACCTGTACAGGCAAGGAATGCTCAGCGTAGCAGAGGATCTTTGTCAGGTAATGGGACTTTTGATCCAGTGTGATTTTTCAAGTTAATTATGGGAAGAATTCAAGACACCGTAATCTGTTTCCTAGGAGTCTGGTGTTGTTATAGATATGAGTATGAAACAGCCTTTCTTGGAGCTGAACAGGATTCTTGAAGCTCTGAGAATGCAAGACCTCAGGCCGGCACTGGAGTAGGTCTTTCTTTTTCTTTTTTTAGTGTGTGTGTATGTGTGTCTATTTATTGTGTCTATTTATTCATCCTCTATATTAAAGAAAATAAACTGACTTTATTTTACCCACTGGTACAGACAGAACCGAGTTAAGTATTAGATTTATTTTTTTTTTTATTTGTTAAAGTATACTTCCTCAAAAAGTACAACAAAGCATTAAAAATGCCATATTAGAAAAGGGGGACTAAGTGGTATAGAAAATAAGATGAGATATTAGAAAAGGTTGTTTTATAACTGCAGAAATACTTTTAGCTACGTTTTCATTTTAGCTGAACGCTCAAAATGTGGGAAACTCTCCAGATTGGTCACCACACCTATAATGCCCTAATACACTTAAGAGATTTCTGTTGATATTAGTAGTACTTTGGTCCTGTCATGCCTGTCACATAATGAAATCATAATGGTGATGATAAAGAACTCCTTTTAGAGTGTTACAAGAGTGCTGATTTAATAGTTGACTGTACTTGTTGTACCTTCTCAGGTGGGCCGTGACGAATCGGCAGCGCCTTCTAGACTTGAACAGCAGTTTAGAATTCAAGTTGCACCGCTTGTACTTCATCAGCTTGCTCAGTGGAGGGATCAGCAACCAGATGGAGGCCCTACAGTATGCCAGGCACTTCCAGCCCTTCGCTGCTCAGCACCAGAGAGGTAGGCAGCAGTGACAGACACTAAGATACAGGCGCTTGGGTTGTGTGCTCTCATTTTTATGATCCTTTCAAGAATTTGATCCTTTCCTCTTATAAGGAGCCCAATAACTTTCCACAGCGGTTTGTATAATAACAATGAAGAAGGAGTGAAAATGTCCTTAAGATAAATACACAAAGAAGTCCTGCCCCACATTGCTCATGTGCTGTTGTTTATTTTTGTTATTTTCCACCACTGTACTTTTTTGTCCCTGCAGATATCCAAATCCTGATGGGCAGTCTGGTGTACCTGCGTCACGGCATTGAGCACTCTCCATACCGCAGTCTGCTGGAGACAAATCAGTGGGCTGAGATCTGTAATATTTTCACCAGAGATGCCTGCGCTTTACTGGGCCTCTCTGTAGAGTCTCCGCTAAGTGTTAGGTCTGAACACTGTGAACAATACGCTACACCTCATCTCCTTTAAAATCCTGACATGAATACCAAAGCTGAGATAGTGTTTTAGTAGATTTGTTTTTCAGATCAAGATAAAGTAGAAATAGTGCTACTGCATTATCACCATGTTGTGTGCCTGCATGCTTAATAGATTAAAATTTTTTTTTATCACTGCTGTCATGTCTGGTTTTTCTAGTTTTGCATCAGGCTGTATGGCCTTGCCGGTGCTGATGAACATCAAGCAGGTGATAGAGCAGAGACAGTGCAGCGGAGTCTGGACACACAAAGATGAACTTCCTGTATGTCCCTAGTGAATTTCCAAAAGGCCTTTGTCACTTTTCTCAGCATTAAGTTAATTCATGTTCTGTTTGTGTAGATTGAAATTGACCTTGGGAAGAAGTGCTGGTACCACTCTGTGTTTGCCTGCCCGATTCTTCGGCAGCAGACCTCAGAGAGCAACCCTCCCATGAAGCTCATCTGTGGCCACGTCATCTCCAGAGATGCCCTCAACAAACTGACCAATGCTGGGAAGTAAGTCAACAGTACAGTCAAGTTGGTTGATTTGTACACAGGAAGAAGATTGTGTGTGCTGTGTGTCAAGCACACATTGTAACACCCTATTTTTAAATTTATTTATTGTTTCGTCTTCCTGTCTTGTCCTCAGGTTGAAATGCCCGTACTGCCCCATGGAGCAGAATCCATCACATGCCAAGCAAATCTACTTTTGATACCACCCACTTTCCTCATGAGTAAGAATGAAATTCCCTGGAGCTCTTTTCCTCTGTCCCTGGCCCTCCTGGCCTGCTATTGTAAGCATTAAGGTTTTATCCCAGTGCTCCTCTGGACAGCCTTAGCCATCCCGTAACCCACCTCGGACCCTCCAACTTTGTGTAGTATACAGAGTCCAGCGGGGATGGTACATCTACAGCTGTAGTAGAGAGATGAGCCTCATGAAGAAGCACCTCTGAAAATGATCATTCACTGAAAACTCATTTGCAAATGCCTGCAGAGTTATAGGCTTAACTTTTTAAAATATGTAATACTTCATAGTGTTTGTTTTCTCTGCTTTGACTGATTTGGATGACTGCTTCAGTTTTTTTTTTTCCCTCTCTCTTTGAATGAACATAGGCAGGTGAGTGTGGGTAAATGGTATAAATAGGGAGTTTCTGATTTCTGGATGGTAATAAACTTTTGTTATTATATGTGAGAAAAACCAGAGTAACAAACTGTGTTGAAGGCTTATTATTTGCTGGTGAAAGGAACTGTGGAGGTCAGTCTTGAATCGAACTCTTAGTTGTGACCCTTTTACGCCTCTATGATGTGTTAAAGACCACACGTACCATGAAAGTCAAAGTAGCTGGGCCGATGTGTCCATTTCATCAGTGGAATTCATCAATGGTGGAACAGCTTTTTTTTTTTTTTTTTTTTTTTAAGTGGGAACCCTCCCTTTCCTCATTATAGAAGCCTTTGTCTTGTTCTGTGTATGTATTTAACAAATGACAAAAAGGAAACAAAAAGTATATGCTACTGTGAAATGTTTCTGTTTTTCATTGCAGCCGCCAGAACGGCTCATGTAAAATAGTAATAAGCTCCAACATACATAACCAACACTACTGCAGAAGTTTCAGAACTAACAGCTTGACAGTTCACAGCACGGTGGTGCCATTGCCTCACTGTGCTTCGCATCGTGTATCCTAAGCTTGCACACCGTGTGATTTGGAGATGTAAAGTGACGTGATGGTAGCCGTATGGTCTGACTTGCAGTGACTGTAGGCTTGTGGTTCAGCTTTACTTATCGTGGGTGGGGGAGTCGTCTGATCAGTGTAACTGTTTTATATATATTTCAAATGCCTCAGCTTCATACGTTTATCTTTCATTTAAGGCAGAAAAGAAACATTACAATTCATGTTTCCTCAGGGTTCACTATAACAATTCATACCACACTTTGCAGTTAGTATTAAAGATGTACATTTATATAAGGACTCTTGAACAAAGATGATTCATATTTAACTATAGAGGCTGATAATTAGGGTGTTACTGGAGTTTGTATATATTACTCAACTGGTGATGTGCAGCATACACTTGGGGAAAGTGTCTCCAGGTCCAAGGCGTTTTGGGTGTACAATACAGTATGTTTAGATTATCAGCACTAATAGTGCACGTGTCTGGCGTCCTCTTAAAAATTGTGATGTCACCTCACACTAGTGAGGCTAATTTGTTTTAGACACACTGCACCAGCGTAGCTCACACAGACAAAGCAACATAACACTGAAGTTTAAGTCAGAGTAAAGAAAAACATTTTATCTTGACTTCATTTTGGAATGGGTTAAAACACGTTCTGTGTGGAGCTTCCTCTGTTTTTCGTCTGTTGTTGACATTCATTTCTTCAAGTGTTCCTTCAGATAGCCTGCTAGCGCTATGTACTTCTGTACGTATTCCTTTTGTTGAATGTTTGGCATTTCCTGCTTTTTGTGCTTTATGCAACTTTTATTGTAAATAATTATCCTCTAACATGTTTCATATACTTGCATCTGAAATTAAAATAAAAATTTATACTCCAAGTCAGTTTTGGAGGCTTGTGCTGGTATTTAGTGCTGGCAGTTGTTGACTAAGCTACCCTCTCTTCACCACTTGGTGGCACTAGTGCTGTGTTTTCTATCATCCACACTAAATAGCCTTTAAGACTTTTAAGATGTCAGATAAGAGGTTTTAATTTGAATGTGTTTTGCAAACAGGAACCTTTTTTTTTTAATCCATAAATTATTCACAAATTTTTCATTCAGGCAGGAGATTTTCAGCGCTGCAACCCTCTTAGAGTGATAACGGCTGAGTTAAGAGTCTGTTCTCATCCCACTCCAGTAAATCACTCAGCCTCTCCTGAGCTGTGCAGTTATATTAAGCCCCAGTTTATATAATGTTTTAAATGCTGAGGAAGGGCCATGTGAGTCAGCCACAGCTCATAACTATTCAGCTTTGCTCAGTCTTTCTCACTTTCATGCTGTTTTATATATAGATGTTCTTATGTGTGTCCATAAACATAGCATGTTTGGATTTTAAAAAAAAGTTAAGCCTCCATTGCTGCCAAGAGCTCTTTGGCTTTCAACATTTGATATTTTCTACAGAAGTTCTTATTTTCTTGAGCAAACAGGGGTCCTCCTAGGTCTCCTTCTCATCTGACTGTCCGCATCTCTGCTGTCTGTACAGCAGGAGCTGGTATGTGAGGGCTGGCTGGGGTAGAGCAAGGAGGGAGAGGCTGCGATAAGAATCCACATTAGCCACATTAGCCTCACAGCCTCTTTTGTTCATTTTGTCATCCTTGGGTTTTACTAGTACTCTGTGGAGATTTTATGCCACTTCAGTGCAGGCAGGTACCAGGTGAATGCCACCTCTAACATATTGGCAAGAGATTTCTAGCAACTTAAAAGCAGACAGAAATAAAGCATTTTGCAGCCTTGATTTACACACACACACAAAATTGGGGCAAACACAAACTGAACAGCTGTTAACATCATTTAATAAATGCCAATATATACAGTTTTCTTTCCAGTAAATAGTCACAGTATGTTTAAAGGTCGATTGAGAGCTGGCTTGTGAACATTTCTATTTTAATGATAAAAAGAGCAACCTGACCTGTGTCATGCATTTGATGTTACTGGATTGGCATGTGTATGCACCAAAAAGCAGGCCAGTCACATTCTTCATCTGCATCTACTGATTGTTTTCTTTGCAACCAGAAGACAGGGAAGTAGCACATTTTAAGACACCAGTGTTCTTAGATTACAGTGACAAAAGGCAAATCAAGTAACAATTACAATTATATACAAACTATATTGATCTCTTCTGACTTTAACTTGAAACTGAATGAGAAAAGCCCAACATTTCCAGTTCCTTCAGCAGGGCAAACTGTTTTCTTGATGAAACAGCTGTAGTACCTTGGCACCAGAAAGCTTTAATCTTCTACTTAACCCAGAGACGCAGCTTTCCTCCCAGAGCCCAGATGATGCACAGAACCATCTGCACACACTGACCAGGTATAGAGATGTTACTGGGCCACACTAAATCCCTTTGAATCCTTTGGTTACTGGCACAACTATACAGCAGTCCAAACCGAAACATAGGTACCAAGTGAACATAAGGAGTCACAATCAGTGTATCAGTTTGTTCTTTTACAGGTTGTTGAACGGACAGAAGTCTATGCTCTTGACTGTATTTTATACACAGCAGACACACCTTTACTGCCAAGGATAGATGAGGCACAGACAGCTACTCTCAGTTTAAGTGTGTTCTGTAGGAGGTTATGGGTCTTTGCAGGATAAGGGCATTAAACAGTCAACAAGGGTGTATGGGGAGAGAATGGCAAACAGACTGGAACCGATGGAAACTCATTTCTGATAGGAAAAAAAAAGAAAAATGATGCACAATAAAAATAAAAATATACATCAAAGTTAATATTTTGACAGACTGGGTCAAAATTATGAGATAAAAAGTCAGACTTTTGACATAAATTTTTAACTTCCTCAAGATTATGAGACTTATCACGTCAACTTTACCAAAGTCACATTTTAAACCTACTGTCACATAATTTTAATTTACTGTATTATGTCATTTTTTGGACAATCTTAGGATCATAATTTTGTCTTAGCATGTAAAATTTGACAAATTGTGTTGTAATTTTACTTAAGTAAACAAATTAATTATTGTGAATTACAAAGTGAAAATTAATCTTAATTGCCCATAATTCTGACTTGGTATCTCATGAGTGATATTTGAATCAGTCTTTTCACTTCATGTTTTGTAACTGAAAATGTGTTTTGTGAGCCTATTTCCTGTCCCTTTTGGCAGACCAGGCCTTCCACAGACGCCATACTTCAGGGAGAAAACAGTTTGCATTGCAAACAAGTCTGTCACATTAAAATTTCAGATGATTCAATCCTCTCTATCCAGGGCCTGTCGTCTTGTTTTTCACCCACTCGCTCATTTGTCAGCCGTGGCACTTCTCTTTCCAATGTCCCATTTCTGCTTCCTCCTCCTCCTTGCTCTCTTCCTGCCCTCAGCTGCTGCAGTTCCCTTTCCAGCGCTTCGCTGTGGTGGTACATCTCTAAGTAGCTGGCCTGCAGCTCCTTCTGGTAGCGGATGACCTTGTCCTTTTCTGTCTGCCATGTGTGCCTCTCTTCATCAAAAGCCAGGGACTGGGCCTCGCTCTGGCGGCGCTCCAGCAGGAGCTCTGCACGCAGACGCTCCTCTGTAGGGCCCCCGCACCCTCCTGCAGTGAAGAGGTTCACATAGATTCAACAACAGTCCAGCAGAGTCACAGAGGAAATATAATGAATAAATGCAGACAGAAGTCTGCTCCTGACCTGGTTACTCAAGTAACCTGATTCTGGGTCCAAGTGTGTGAGCATCATAACTCACAATAACCCAGACAAGTTCTTGCTGTTGATAAGAAACTCAGTCACTTTGTTCAATATACAGTACAACAGACTGTGACATACTGTATAAATATCTTGCTTCTCTTTACCTTTTTTTTCACTTCCCATGCACGTTTACTTGGCTTTACTTAGGTTTGAAGTATGACACCATTTATTTACTGCTGATAAGTTAGTTAGCTTTATGTAAAGTGATTTGAGACTTGCTTTTGGTAAAGTGCTGTATCAACAATCAGAACGTCAGCTCTTATCTGTGCTTGTGGTGCAGCGGTGTGACTGCAGTAAAGCATCAAAGCGTGCAGGTCAAACACTCTGAGTCTCAGGCATGTACATGCATAAAGAGAGACAGGCACATAGAACTACCTGTCGCCCCAGTTGAAGTACTCTCTTCAGCTCCTTTTCCATCTTCATGTGCATTGTTAGAGGGACATCTGTGATGCTGTGCCCCCTGCAGGAGGAGTTTCAGTGCATCTATCTGGCCCTCCCTGTTGCGCAGCTCTGTGCGGGTCTCCCTGAGCTGCGTCTTCAGCTGGAAGATCTCACTGAGCTTCTGAGTCACCTCCGCTTGGGAGTCCCTCAGCTGCTGCTTTAGCAAGGAGATCTCACCTGACTTCTGACAAACCTGAGACACAGAAAATGGGGAAAAAGGGATGGAAGCAGGAGACGCATACATTTTTCATGACTTTAGAGACCTTAGACACAGAACAACACACCAGCACAGAAGACCACCCCTCCCCCGGGCGAGCAGGCTGTGTGTCTGTCCACAGCCAGCGTGAAGAAGACCCTCTCCGGGATTAACCCATGCAAGGCAGCTGGACTGGATAACTTACCTGGTCCTGTCCTCATGGACATTAACATCTCCCTGAGCCAAGCGGTTGTTCCTACGTGTTTCAAGGCCGCCACAATAATTCCAATTCCAAAGAAGCCCAACTAGTTACAATGACTATCAGCCTGTAGCACTGACTTCAACTATTATGAAGTGCTTCGAGCGGCTGGTCATGCAGAACATCACGTCCATCCTTCATCCCTCTCACAAACCATTTCAGTTTGCATACAGGTCAAACGGGTCCACAGAGGATGTCATTACTGCTGTTCTTCATCCAGCCCTCACCCACCTAGATTAAAAAAACTCTGTTCCTAGACTTCAGTTCAGCATTCAACATAATCATTCCCCAGCAGTTTATACAAAAACTTGGACACTTGGGACTCAAAACCTCTCTCTGCAACTGGGTGCTGAACTTTCTAACATATAACATCTCCAAGACCATCACGCTGAACACAGGGGCTCTGCAGGGGTTTGTGCTTTGATTTAGTTTTCTTATTCTTTTCAGTCTATTTTTACTCTACTTTTATTCTATTTTAGTTTCCTAAATGGTATGGCATTCAATACTAGGTGAGAGAGAAATGCTATTTCGATTTTCGGTATGTCCTGCACTATAGTAAATTGACAATAAAAATCTTTCATCTTGATCTTGTTGTGATCATTTTAACAGGATAAACAAGGAAGGAATTCAGTGTCTCTTCCTTCTAAGTGCTTCACTCTGCACATAAACTCTCCCTCCCCTGTCCTTTCAAGGCCTTACCTCCCACTGCGTCTCCTCCAGTGTTGGACTGGTTTGCTTTATCATTGCTCCAGTTTCCTGGCTCCTTTCCCTTCTCAGTCTGTCGAGCTCTTCTTGCAGCCGGCTCTTCTCTTGCTGGGCCTCAAACAGCTGCAACTGCAGGCTGCGCTGGGAACGCTGGGCATGTTGGGAAACCTGACGCAGCTTAGCGGCATATAGGTGCTTCAGCTCCTCCACCTCCTTCTCCCACAAACGCTGTTTTCCTTCAAACACCTGCATGCGGTGAGCAGATATGGGTCAAACTTCAAAAGAGAGGCAGATGGATGTAAACTGATGATGAAGAACAGACCGATACAATAGGACTCACCTGAGCAATGGCGCCTTCACTCTCATCCAGGTTTCTTTTCATCTGTTTCAGCTCATGTTCTTTCTCCACCAGGCGCTCCTCCAGATCCCGCACCTGGAAAAGACAACACATTGAGTAACTTGGCAACCTGGGAATGATGTAGGCCTGTTTAACCCCCCATCTACCTGCCCAGTACTCACAACATCCTCTACAGACAGGGAGAGGGTCCATTCATAGGGAGGTGGAGCCTCCCCTCCATATGGAGCCAGACGGCTCAGGGCTGCTGTGCTCCGACACGCCATCTCCCCTATAGCCGCGCCCCCTGAACCTACTGCTTTCCGGTTCAGAGAGGTGCGGTCCAGTGAGCCAATGGTGTTAATGTGGCCCATAGATGCACTAGGGGAAAAAAGAAATCACAAGAGCCATTAAAATATCCTGTATTATCACTTCCCACACAGTCATTATGTATAAAAATAAATTCTAGAAACACTCCCTTTGAATAGAAAGCAGAGCTAAGACAATAATGCTGCAGCAGACCTGATTTGAGACAGGTGTGGGCGGAAAGGAGGCCGGTATGGTGGCAGGCTGCTCATGGAGTTATGGCCCGAGTCTGACAGGTTATCATCCTCCTGGCTCATCCCACGCACCGAGGACTGTGCCTACATAGTCATAATTATACAGTTATTCATCACAATAACATTATTAGGTTAAGAAAAGATTAATTTCACTCAAATAATGGCTGACTAAAATGAAAAATCACAAGTTGTCAGTTGTTTTGTTTCTGTAATCAATGTACAAAGACTGGATTGTAGATTCAACCCGAATGCACTTGTTTCCTGGCTTATAGCTCAACTTTTCACCAAGTTTAACTGAAGTCAGCGAAAAGATTTTCAAGATAAGTGAACAACCACATAAATGGATGTGGACATGGGCACTGGATCAAGGCTTAAAGTTACGATCATGTATCAGAATACCTTGTTAGCGCTGGATGCTGGTCCTCCACGACGGGAGGGGGAGGAGGAGGAGGAAGAAGTGGAGATAGCTTTAGGGACACGGGCATAAGCCCTGTGCAATCCGTTGGAGAGGCCATGGTCCACATCCTCTGACTTGGAAGATGGATAGAGGTTTTGCATGGAGCAGAAGTTCTTGGGATTGACAGGCTTAAAGGCCGAAGACCTAAAACGAGCCTAAAGAAGGAGATGCAAGAGCTGACAAAGTCAGGGGCATTTTAACAAGATGCAAAGATACTGTAGTAGTAGTGGAGACCTTACCCACAGCAAAGGAGGCTGGGATATGAAACAGAAGTCACTGCATTTGTATTAAATTAATACTGTTCCACCCTATATGGTCTTAGCAATTCAAGCAAATGCATGTGAGATTGGTTTGCAGCAGTAAACTGAGAACACAGCAGATTATCAGTCTGTACTAGTGATCTGGAAATGATTTAAGGTTTATATATGGTAGCAACAGGTGATGGGGGCTTTGCATCATGCTGCCAGAGGTCTACATATGTGATACAGATTAATTTTCCACATGCCCATCACCTGGTCACTAGTTGTATAGCATTTATAGATAGACCACAATGGCAAGCCATTCATCTATCACTGTGGCTCAGTCGGTCGTACCTACTGCTGTAGAGGAAACTAAAGGACACATATTATGCATAATTCACTTTTAGAGCATTTTCTGACATTCACATGGATCTCCCATGTCTGTAGGGACACACAAAACATGTGAAAAGAGCAGTCCTTGCCTGTTTTGCTTTTTCCCCATTTGTAAAAGTCCCTGCGAACACGCTCTTTATGACGTTTCAACAACAATATTCACCTTTTCATACTTGCCCCCACTTGGCAGTGAGCTCTTTGTCAAATCTACTTCGGTGCCGTCTTTGTGGTAGACTTTGGCGTATACGTTGTCCTCCTCACAGCCAGGACTGAGGCCAGAGATGTCCTTCTCGCTGTCGCTGCCTGGGTTTGCTTTAGGCTCTTTTCTGTTGGCAAGCACAGGAGGTCAACTGAGGTCAAGTCCTGTCACATTTTACAGTGTCTTGCAGACTACTTTGATTTCAAAACTGCACCCACCTGTTGATAATGAGGTAGCTGAGTAGCTCTCTCTGGGTGAAGCCTCTCTTTAGAAGGCCGTTGTTCTGTTTGGGTCTCACCTGCGGCACTGCATGGTTGCCTTTAGGGGGAGACACATCTGGCTTCTCCACCAGACTGCCTACACTTCCCATGCCGCAGCGGGACGAGAGGGCCCGTGCTGGGAAAAGGTTACGGAAGTTCTTGTTGGAGCCACGGGTCAGAGGAAGAGTCTGGACTGAGGTTGCCATTGGTTACAGGACTCTGTGGGGGCATGAGGTGCTCTGTAAAATAGAGAAAAAGTAGAAAATGAGCTGAATGTTCACAGGAGTAAGAAGACCTGTTTATGTAAATAATGAGCTGATGACCATAGTGACCTGATGGCAATACACTATGACTGGCTTTCTGTTAAGAATTTCCTGGCAGCTTTCCAGGCTATGTTTTAAGCACATTTAACATTTTAAACCCCAGACAGGCTACCCATTCATTCTGAGCTTCTTAGGGCTGCAACCAAACATTCATTATCATTTAATGTAGCGATGATTTTCAAATTTTTCCATTAGTAGTTTGTCTATAAAATGTCAGAAAATGGGAAAAAGATCTATCACAAATTCCCAGCACCCAAGATGACCTCTTCAAAAGACTTGTTTCATCCTTCAGTTTACTATAGTAGCACAGAAGACTAAGCAAAGCAGGAAATATTTACATTTGAGAGGCAGCAGCTAGAGAATTTTGACATTGCTCACTCAAAGTTATAAAATGATTATTAGAATAATAACAGTTAATTTGCTGTCTATCAAGTGATGGATTAATCAACCAGTAACTAACGCAGTAACTTTAATATATTACACGTCAGGGTGGCATACAACAAGTCAGACTACCTACCTCTCCTGTCAGAAAGTGTTTTACTTATATTACTTCCTTAATGTAGTTTACTTTCTCAAAAGCGATCCAAGACCACATTTTTATTTTGACTGCACACCGCCATCCCACACAGATGTGCTGCTATTGTGGCAAAGCAATAAATAATAAATATCTGACCCCTTTCCCCATTACTGAAATGATTTCCGCCTCATGCTCCTTTAGTACCCTGACTGGATGTTGATCTCTGAAGGGACAGCACAAGCTGACAGACGTTTAATCAGCTGTTTCTCTGTCACACGGCTGTCTCAGAGCACAGCTAGAACAACTCAGCTGCCCACAACATCACAGCACAGCACTTCATTACAAAACAAACACACACAAAACCTGACCCGGATGCAAACAGTGTCATAGAACAACACTGAATGTAAAATAATGCCTGTAAAAAGAGGACAAATCCCATAGCAAACTGAAAAGTTCTCTTTCAAGATGGAGTCTTGCCTTTCAGACGCTCATGTTATCCTTTCCCAACAGCAAATCAAGAGACTGAAGGATCCTGTAAAATATGTATTCTGTGAGTGTAATGTTGTTTTCTTTGAGGTAGGGCAGCATATGTCCCATCACAAGCCTGTTACATAAGCCTGCTCCATCTACAGCAGAGCTCATTTCCTAAAAAAATAAAATCAGACGAGCTCTAATATCCCATACGCATTATGGCCCATTTGATCAAGTGCTATTTTGTTAGTAAGTTCCGTGTCTCGTGAAATCACGTGTATCCATATACCAATCACACAGTGTGCCTTCATAGGTGGAGGATGGCCTGAACATATTTTTGACACACATGATGGCTGTCTATGGGAGATTAGGTTTCCTGCCACTAAATCAGTTGCCAAGTTACCTACTATTGTTTTGTCAACTCGAGTTTGAGCCTCTTCAGTTTCACAGTAGATTTTGTCACTACAACCTCCCCAGCACCATTGAAATGACTCACAAAAAAAAAACCTCCACTTCTTCTTTACAAACAACCTCATTAAGGATCACTATTGATCTCACCTCTCTGACCCTCGCTCTTCCCCTGCATAAACACCTCAGCAGCCATAAAACATTCTTAAGACCATAAAACACAGAAACTTGCTGCAGGACATTTTGACTACAAACAGGACTCGGTGAGGGATTTCTCTGTGCTCAGCTTCCATGGAACAGGTAGAATTTAAATGGCCATACTGGATGTTTTGCTTCTTTTATCCAATACCATATAGGCAACTGTTGGTTTTGCATTAATTCCACAGTTTTATGGAAATACACCAGATATATAACACATCACAGAGAACATTTCTTTGAAAAAAGATTATGCCATTAATGTGTAGTAATGTGTTTTTCTCCTTTGTGCAATCCAGGACATAAGACATCCAATATCTGAGATATGACTGCCAACAAACACTTTACTGTAAAAGTATGTTGGATCAAGATTCCACCGGGCAACCAAGAAAACATGAATAATGCTGTTAAAGATTTGGGTGTATTTGATCTTTTCTTGCAAAATCTGCTGTTTGGCATGTGACTCTGAAGTCTCAGATATTTGAGTGTCTTTAAATGTGCCAGCAAGCTTTCAAACTTGTTCCTGCTGGTACTTGTATTACTATGAAACAATAGTAGGTTTCAGGTCTCTGTCATTGTCTTGTATACAACAGCAAAATGAACTGAGGCAAGGAAGACTAGAAGGTAGAAGATCAAGGTTTGGAAATGTGTTTGCAATAAAGTTTAGATTATTTACATGATGTGTAGGCAGAAACATGCAAAAACCAAGTGTGCTTTGGCAGGTGCGTGTCATGTATGAGTGATCAAAACATGGCCAGTCTCAGCCAATGACTAGGCTATCCTGCCACCGTGCTGTCAGATTACACAACACACACACACACACACACACACACGGTGCCTGACAACAATTTTAATGTCTCACCGTCACACACAAATACTCCATGTATAAGCACACACACCCGCAGTGACACTGTGGCATTTCCTCTTGTTTCTACTACAAATCCACATTTATCAAGCGCTTTGCACTGCTGGCCTCACAGTTACAAGAATTATGCAAATGGTTCAAATAGGCAGAGAGAGCTATGCAATGGAAGCTCCAGCCCACTCCACTCAGGGCTCTCAGCCAGGCCGAGATCAAAGCAGCACAAGCTGCTCATGTTTATATTCATGCAGTTCTATTTCCCCTGGTGTAAAACTTTCCACTAAAGCATCTGGTTCCTAATAAGCCAATATAATAAAGGCTGAACTGAGGCTGACGAACCTTGGTCATCAGTGATGAGAATATAGTCCAATACAAGGTGATGGTCTGTGAAAAAGTGCACAGCTCTGGTGCTGTCTGACCGGGAAGTCCCGAGTAAGACACAATGAATATGATTCAGTGAGAGTCAGGCTGAGTGTGTATGTGTCTGACCATATGAATAAATCATGAGTGCCGAACCTGATGGCCACCGGCCGAGCTCTGACACAGTACTTTTAGGTCCGGTATTTTACTCAGTTTGTGTTGTGTCTCTGCCAAAGACATGAGAGGCCAATTGATGCTTTACAGGAACCCGGTGTTGGGGTGAGGGTGGGTGAGGCAAAGCAATACCTTTTGGGTGGATAGGACGGTAAAAATCCTTTTAGGCTGCAACCACAAATCTTGCAGGACTAAACAAAGCTTGCATCCGGTTGTTTACCATAATTAGTTTCTAGTTTATGAGCCAGAATAAACCAGGAGGAAGATTTATAGCACAGCCCTGACTAGCCAAGGGGGCCCTAAATCACGCACACACACACACGTGTGGATCAGTTATGGTCTAATTGAAAAGCGCTTTGTTTTTGATTTACGCTCCATTCAAAGTACCGATGAGGTTTTCAAAACTTTGATCAAACATAAAAATGTTAAATCAGTGCATCAAAGTGCAGGTACACATGAGACACAGTCATATGTGGTTGTCGATGCATGTTTCTGATGATTTCTTTACAAAGAGTAAAGTTATAAACTGGATCACTAAAGTAAAATCAGTACAGAACATAAACACCTTTCACATATTGAATGACACTTCTGTGTTGAGTCGGGATATAAGATCACATTAGTTAATACAGGCCTAGTGATCTCAAACAGTGTACACTAAAGAGACCTGCTGCTAAGAGGTGTGAGGTTCTTGTAAAGGCTTGCAGTGAGAATTTACAGTTAAGGTTTTGCCTTGAAATTCCTCAGGAACATATCCTAACTCATCTAGAAAACCGTACAACACTTTACTCCAATCACAAAGAAAACAACACATGCAGCCTTTAAGAGGACTGAAGGTTTCAAGGACGCTCTCTGCTAAAGTATAAAATCTGGTCTCCTGTGGGGAAAACAAAGCTTTCATTGAAATGCCTGCTCGTGAAGGGGGGACATTTCAAACGCTCAGACACACTGGGACTGAGACACAGGAGAGAAGGATAGGGAAGCCAAATTCCAGTGATGCTTTACTGAACACAAGCTTGGGCTTGTCACTGTTTGATGCACTAAATGCTCACTCCCACGGATGCTCACTCACTCTTACGTGTGTGCGGGTCACTCAACACAGCCCCGAAAAAAGCTTCTGCATGGCTTGCAGCTCCAGATCCTCTGCCCTCTTCCATCACCACTCTCTCGCTCCCCTGCTCCATGATCAAAGTTTGTTTATGTTTGTGGGGTACCTTTGCAGGTTCCATCTGGAACTCCTACACAGCGCACACTCTGCTGCATTATATAAGCTCTATCAAAGCTGTGCTTCCTGGTTTTCTCAGTTATTAGTTGAGTCAAACACTATAAAACTATTACAAAATCAGCCTTACTCAATCTATTGTACAGAGACCTGCTGTATTATACTGTATTTAACCTCTGCTCTGGAAACCTGACAGTCCACCTTATGAGACACCTTCTAACATCAAACACAGCCATGATAGCATATTTGCTACAGTTATGTAAAGACAGATGCCTCTGGCATATTTTAAAAGCCAAATCAGTACCAGACCAGCATTTTCTGTCCGTTGCTGAAAAGCAAAAGAAACATAAGAAAGTTCAGCTAACTGGCCCTAAAGATGGTCATTATCAGACTAACAGAAAAGAAGCAAGTTGATAAGCATAATTTGAAAAACTATTCCAGATAGATCTCCCCAGTACATTTGTGGACATCAGTAATTGTACTGTCTCTACTCGTAAATGACTGTAAATTTCAGGCAACTTAGTTTATGAATTTTTGGTAAGACTTAAAAAATCTTCCCGCTTTCTTTGGGGAGTTCTTTGTTTTGCATATCCACCAACATCAGCAGTAGTTCATCTCATCTGTTTTGAGTAAGATGTGGAAATAGGCATGAGGCTAATAATGAAGAAAGAACAAGACAAAACAAAAGAAAGAAACCAGAGGAGTGACGT